CCCCCCCCCCCCCCCCCCCCCCAGAGTCCAGCAGAGCGTGGAGTTCTGCCTCCACCAGGCTGACGGGGTCAGAGGCAGAGCGCAGACAGATGTGACAGATGTGTGAGGGGCCCCGGCAGCCCCACTGACCCTGATCCAGACCCTAATCCAGACCGTGATCCAGACCCCGATCCAGACCCTCCCTGATCCAAAGGTCCAGATCCAGACCCCGATCCAGACCCTGATCTAGACCCTGATACAGACCCTGATCCAAACCCTGATCCAACGACCCTGATCCAAACCCTGATCCAGACCCTGATCCAAAGGTCCAGATCCAAACCCTGATCCTAACCCTGATCCAAACCCTGATCCCGACCCTGATCCAAAAGTCCAGATCCAGACCCTGATCTAGACCCTGATCCAAACCCTGATCCAGACCCTGATCCAGACCCTGATCCTTGGATGCAGAAACTGGCCTCTGCTCTCAGCCCGTCACTGGTCATTAAATCAGCTTTAGGGAGCACAGCTGGTGTCCTTCTGTCTGTCCTTTTTCTCTTTGAGCCCCAGTCCTGTTCCTTCATTCCCTCATTTCACATCACAGCTGATGATATTCAGCCCGTGTGATCGTGAGTCTGCATTTACCCCCCCCCCCCCCACCCGCTGTGTGAGGCTCCGTCATAAACGCCACTAAGAGGCTTCCCCAGAGCAACACGAGGTAGAGCTGACTCAATGCTCATTAAGGCTCATCATCCTCTCAGTCAGGCAGGAAGGTGAAGGTTATCCGCTTGTACTGCTTTCCACTCTCAGTCTCTGCAACTGGAAAGTTTTTACCATGTTATCCTCTCTACGATGAAATGAGTTCAGCTGTGTTAAAACCAAAGCTAGAGTCCCCTTTTTGGCCTCTACCTGTAGCACCTGTGTGCTGCTTTGGTTTCTGATCGGATGCTTTCATTTACTGTCCAGAAATGGGATCAAAACTGCTGGTCAGTGCTCTGATTATGGATCCTCACAGTGTGAGCAGCTCTGTAAAAGCGGACGTTTTCAGCATTATAGAGGTGTGTTAACACCACGCCAAGGAGAAAAGAGTCTGATCAATCTGAAGAGTCTAAGACTGTTTAAATCTACCTGGAGTCTGAAGAGAGAAAGCTTAAAGCAACTAAAAGCCAATCCAGTCCACTTCCTTATTAAAGTGTTCAGCTTGTGTCAGACAGACTCATTTTGGCTCAAACACACAGTGGAATTCAGTTTCTTCTGTTTTTGTCCCAGCAGGGTTTTTTCTGATGTGTGAAACATAAACTGTGTGTGTGTGTGTGTGTGTGTGGACAGGCTCAGTAAGGAGCTGCAGCAAAAAGACAAAGTCATCGAGTCTCTGCGCGCCAAACTCAGCCAGCACCAGCACCACCATCATCATCCTCATCATCGCTCAGACACCCCCAGCAGCAGCCACGCCCTCTCCGACACCACCGACCAGTCCGACCGCATCTCCTACGTGTCTGACGAGCACGGGTCCACCAACGAGGACCTGGAGCTGTGCTCGGACGTGGAGGGCGTCAGCGAGGCGGCTCAGGAGGAGGCGCGCACCCCCACCAGAGGGGGCACAGGTGAGGAGCCCACCGGGGTCCCATCTGGACAGCCGGGCCGCCAAACAACAGTCACCAGCGTAGTTAGCATGTTTCCAAAGCTGTTCTGGGTTCAGCCCCATCACACCACCTCAAGCTTCTTTATCGGAGGAGCTGGAAAAAGCTCTCCAAACTAAATCTGAAGCAGAATCTCCATCCTGTTCCCAAAAGTCGGGACTTAACCAGTGAAGATGTTGGTGTTAAGTTTGAGTACAGCTCCGAGCTTTTGTATTCATTATGCTCCACCCAGGAGGTTTACCCCATTCACTCTTTTCAAAACTCACCTTTCAGACAACTAGATGATCTACAGGTGGTCAGATTGGGGCTCAGACTGCGACCCCCCCTTTACCTGCTTTAAGCTGACCCTGCCCATTGTTTTGGTGTCCTCTCCATCTGTGGTTTCCAGATTGTCACTCTCATCACGGTGTCCTGTCCTGCCATGCGTCTGCCCCTTCCTCCGTCACCTCACACCAAAGCTGTCCCAGCATGCAATGCTCCGGCTCGTCGTGCAAACCTGCGGATGTGCTGAGTCACTCAGGTAGTGAGGGGAGGGGGGACAAACCTGGAAAACACCACTCTCCTCTCTGTGGGAACCTCCTTCATCCCTCCATTTTCCTCTGCCCTCCTCCTCCTCCTCTTCTCTCTCAGCTCCCACCTTCAGCTCTGCCCCCTGTCCCTCTCTCCCCTCCCGCCCCCAGAAGGCCCCCTTCTCCCTCCGCGCCCCCACCTCAAACCTGCGGGCCCGTCACCAGCGCGGCGGGGGGGCGGGTTTCACCCTGGCTGAGGTGCAGCAGGAGCTGCAGATGCTGCAGAGGCAGCTGGGAGGCGGAGCCAGTGGGTTTCTGCTCGCCTCTGTGTGGCAGTGTCCAGCCTAACAAACTAAACCAGTGTTTGAGTGTGTGTGCCGCTCTTAGCAGAGCACATCCAACTTCAGTCAACCCATGAAAAATCTTCTCATTTCCCCAGAGAAGGAACACCTGCATGCTAACTAAATTTAGCATCAGAATCAGTTTAAAATCAGCTCATCTGATGCAGATTTGTGCAGCCTCAGCATGGACTTTGTGTCTCTCTGGATGTCAGGCTTGTCGTGGACTAACTATTTTACTGGAGTGCATTAACGGGACCAATGCATTTTTGTTGGAATACTGTGAGGTTTCATAGGACAGTTTAATCGTTTTCTGTGTTTGACTGCTTGGACATCAGTGTTTGTTGTGTCTACAGCTTTGATTGGATCCTGAGGGATGTATGGGCTGAGAGTCGGGGGGGCAGAGGGAAATATCCTGCAAGCGACACATGGATACATTAAGGGGTTAAAGGACGCCTTCGTGCCTGAGTTGATTGGTCCATTTTGCCTCAGATAGTTTATTTGTCTCTAGTGAGGAGGTTGCACGGAACACATGTGTGTGTTTGCTAACAGTAGGAAAGCAAAGAGAGGACTGACACAGATCCAGAGAGACTGAAACTCCTCTGATTCAGCTGGAGGGTCGGGCCTGAGTCTCAGAAGGAGCACCCACCTTTTTTCCGGGTCAGAGCCATGACCCGAACCTCAGCTCGGATCACGTTTAAAGTCTGACTGGCTCTGCCAAGCGGTCCCTGCTCTTTGCTTTCAAACATTTCTGTTTTCCGGAGCATATAAGAGCCGTTTTTCAGAGCGCTTCAGGCTCGTTTGGAGCCCTCTGAAGGCTTCCTGTGGACACACAGCCGGCCGCCTCTCATCTCACATCTCCCTCATCCCTCTGCCGTCCCGGGCCCCGCTCGGTAACTGGGTGCTTTCCTTCTGGTTGAATAAGGCTGATGCTTTGTGAGCCCGGAGCCTCCAGCTGGAGGAGACCTCTGATGAGGGGTGGAGCTCTGAGCCAGTCCAAACCAGGCCGCTGATTAATGTCAGAAGCAATCCACTCATGTCTCTGTTTTCCTGAGTCTCACTGACACGCCGATGCTCTCCCTTTCCCACGGACCGTCAGCTGTTTCAGGGAGCTCATGCTCTCCTCCTTCCCCCACAGGGTTCTCCACTCCACAGCCCAAAGCTCTGCACGGATTGGGCCTCCAGCCGCCTGCAGACTCCTCAGGCTTCCCGCCTCTGTCCTACCAGAGATTCCAGCCCTCTCCCTTTACCAGAGCGGCCAGCAGCAGCAGCCTGGACGCCAGCCTGGCCGCAAAAGCAGGGTCCAGCCTGCTGGAGAGCAGTGCGTTGTGGGACACGACCTACGGTGCCCGCCCAACGAGGATCGGAGCCGACCTGTCCTCTGGATCGTCGGGCTACCAGTCGGGCACGAGCCACACAGGTAGTTTTTAGAAATCCAACTTTTTCCTGCTCAGATTTGATGTTTTCTGTGATTTTCAGCTCCTGTGTTTCGAAATGAAAAAATAACTGTAAAGTCACACAACGTGATACTAAATAACGCAAAAAAGAGCAGTTTTCAAGGGGGAGTAAAAGTATAAAAGAGTCATAAATGCAGCTATTCTTCAGAGAGCTCATGATTTGTTAAAACAAAGTCCATGCTGAGGCTGCAGGAGTTGTCAGGACTTAAAGGCAGTGATTCCAGGTCAGATGTTCTCTGTGTTTGTGCTGAAGGCTCAGACCTGATGAAGGAGCACCTGAAGGAGATCAGGACTCTGAGGCAGAGGCTGGAGGACTCCATCCAGACCAACGACCGCCTCCGGCAGCAGCTGGAGGAGAGGCTGGCTCGCACCAGTGCAGAAAAAGGTGAAACACTCACCCATAAAAACAGAGTGGGCTCAGAGGATTTTGATTTAAATGGAGCCCCAAAAAGTGGGAGATGTAGCAGAGGAAGGCATGGTAGGAGCCTTCAGAGGCCTCCATCCATTAAAACTGTGTGTAATATATCCATGGGTACACACAAGGGGACCTAATTGTCTTACTTCTATAAAGGCAGCTGATAAAACCCCATCTCAGAGTTCCACAAACCAGCAAAGTATACAGATATAAACCTGTTTTTAAAAGATTTTCCCTGTTACTGTACTATTCTGAACTACCTTCAATAGATTTTTTAACTTAAAACCCTTCAAAAGTCTTCTTAAATGACAGTTTGTTACTGAAAGCAAAACCAGAGCTAAAAGTCATGCAAGAGTCAAAGTTTGGGTGTTGTAGTGTAGAACTCATATCCAGAGGCTGGAGGACGGGAGGTTATTCAGTTTTAAGTCAACAGGGAATCAAATGATCAGGACAAAAGTCAGGAATCAGGAAACAAAGGGAACCAGCAGTTAAACAGGTGTAGAGCCACTGGTTACTGAGGACAGTTGAGAAGTACAGTTCACCACAGAGCTCTTACTAACATGACCAGGATCCTATGTGCCTTAAACTCAGCGGTAGACAAAATCCTCAGTTTCATCACTTGAGTAACAGTACAGATCTTACTGCTCAATCTTAAAGAAAGAATTGTGACAGTTTCCAGAACAATTGTGGATACTTTTATACATGTGGCAGGACAGTGATTCCAGATGTATGCTGACAATAACTGTAATAATAAAGGTTCAAAGGTAAAAACTGTTCTATTTCTCCATATGAATACATTTTTTTAGAATAATTGTATCTCTCTCTTCACCTAAGGTGCTCCAACCAACATCTACATCCAGGGTCTGGACTCCGTTAGCCAGCTTTCCAGTGAGATTCTCCTACTAAAGAAGGAGAACGTCAGTCTGCAGCAGGCTGCCAGAGGTATGGATGCTCTCTGACTCCTGAGGTATTCAGCATTTTCATTCTTCACATTCAGATAGTTTAGAGGGTCTGTGATGTGTCGCCTGCAGAGGGCAGAAAGGAGGCGGAGCAGCTGAGGGAGGCCGCGCTCCTGGAGAGGTCCAGGGTGAAAGAGGCGGGGCTAGATGCTGCCAGGTGGGCGGAGCAAAGCCGAAAGCTGCAAGCTGAAGCTGAGGCTCGCAGCCAGGAGATGGCCCAGCTGAAACAGGATAGACAAAGGAACCAGGAAACCATCACTAGGTATAGTCTGACTGGGGCTCAGGGCCTAGATGTGAAAACTACCATTTCTCATTCGGTGCCAATGTCTGAAGCATGAGCTAAATTACTTTTTATTTGATTTTTTATGCGTGGACAGACTGCAGCATGAGGTGAGCGTCCTCCGACAGCAGCTGAGCGAGAGCCGCACGTTGGTCCAGACTCTTCAGAGGGACCTGCAGGCGTACGGCAACACGGGCTCCGGTAAGTAGGAAGACGTTTGTGGAGAAATGGCTACCCTGGAAGCTCTGGCCCTCATTGAACTATTTCTACAGCCACCAAATACAGTTCAAACAATAAAGGATCAAAGATGAACATGTACTGGGATCAGCTGATCGAAAAGCAACTACCGGTACCACTAAGATTCACCTTACATTTGCTGCCCTGCTTCCAAAGTTGATTGAAATCAAATTCAAGGCAAATTAAGGGAAGAACTCACCCTCCCCAGAAAGCTCTGAAAGCAGTTTGCTGTTTAAAATCAGCATTTCCTGCTCAGTTGCAGCTGGGTTGGAGAGATCTGATTGGACCAAGCCCAGTGGCAGTCATGCTGTGGCTTCCACCTCTGATGAGTCCTCAGAGTTGGCTTCAATCTGAGACCAACATGGTTCACACACAGTCTCGAATTACAGGGAAATACTTGAGTAAATGAGTCATTTTCAAGCAGCTTTTTAGATCGATCTTCTGTTTTTTTTGTGTTTCCGAACAGTTCAAATCAGCGACCGCGCCCAGCCGGCGACCTCTGACCCCAAAGAGCCGCACGTCCAGCTGGAACAGCAGCAGACCGGACAGGGCGGCGCCCAGCCCAGAGTCAAGAGACAGCTCTTCAGCGGTCAGTTTGTCCAACACTACCGCAAAAGAATCCAGACTTTATACAGCTCCAGAGGGGTTTAGATTTATTCTCGAAATGTGTTTCCACAGATAAGGTGCCCTCGCCTCCGGTGATGGACACCGGACTCGTGGGTCAGTCCTCTCCTCTCCATCCTGCAAAGAAACATGAAGCAGGAGCAGCTGATCAGGGTGAGACATTCAGGCTCCAGAATAGAAAGATCTCACAAACCAAATAACACTGGACCAGAAAACACTAGACATAAAAAGGCTGGATCAGACAACGACTGGATAAGACCAGGCTGCTCTTATCCGAGATTTGGTTTTGAGACCTTTTAACACTCAATTAGATGTTTCCATTTGGGTTAAATGCACCACGTTGAGTCTTCCTGCCTGCGTCTCTAATCCTTCTACCTCCTTCTGTAGCCGGTCTGGCTCTGCAGGGCCCAGCCAGCCATCAGGGCCACCACGCAGTGGGCCACATCCAGGACTTCGAGGCCCTGAGGCAGCAGCTCCTGGAGGGGAGTTCCCTCCTGCTGAAGATGGAGGCCGCTCTTCTCTCTCTGAGCTCCTCTCAGGAGGTCCGGCTCCATCAGGTGAGACCGGGGAAGACAGTTTGCATCACATTGGTTTGGTTTTAAATGTGTTTTTTGCTCTTTTATGGATCTGTTTGGGATTGTTTTAGCTGTTGAACGTGTGTGATTTGGCCTTACGATCCTTCTGCCTCTCAGCTCTCGGACTCGGGGTGGTTCGGAAAGCTGCTATCAGACTGCAGAACCCTGAAACAGATCCTGCTGGAGGCCGATTCTCTGCTCTGGAGAGCAGCTCCTCCCGACTCAGAGGAAGCCTGTCAGGTCCGGATCACATACTGTGTTTAATGACCTAAAATGACTCAGATTTCAGTGCCAAAATGTCACTTTTTGTGTCAATAAACGTTCCTAAACCGGGACCTGATGTGCTGTTTAGGATCAGTCTCTGAGGGACGAGGTGGTTTCTCTCCGTCTGAAGCTCTCAGACCAGGAGCAGGCCCTAAGGGACACCATGGAGAGACTGAAGAGCTCCAACCTCACCAAAGATAGCATGGAGCACTTTATAATCAGCCAGCGTGAGTCTCCGGTGTTGCTTTTAAGTGTTTGTGCTCCTTCTGCGGATCCCAGGAACCACCAACTGATTTTTTGTTTTTATTTTTTCAGTGTCGAGAACGCGGGACGTCCTGAAGAAAGCAAAGACCAATTTGCAGGTGAGTTCTAGCTCTCTCTGTAGGAAAACAAAGCTCCTCCCACAGCAGGTTGGAATAACGAGGCGATTGGCCGGTTCAAAGTGAAACCCTCTCCTGTCTCCTGCTTTTCTCTCCCTACTCTCACTGAGCCTCCTCAGGAGAACAAACTCAGGATGGCGTCCCTTTTCCAAGCGTCTCTCTCTGCCCCTCCCTCCTCCTCCTCCTTTTCCTCGTACCCCCGCCCTGTTAAAGGTACAGTCCTCTGGCTCTGCTTTGCCCTCTACTACAGGGAGGGCCGCCATGTTTTTAACTGGGTTGCGTTATATTTGATATAACCTCACTAAAACCGAGTGGAGTTATTGTTAACCGGCCGGACAGCAGGCTCACATCCACAGCTGCTAACTACAGCTCCATCCAGTGGAGAGGAGCGGGAACACACCACAGCCAGTTCTGCTGACTCAGCTGGTGAACACGCAGAACTAAACCCCCCATGGATGGCCGGAGAAATGAAGATGGATAGAGGATAGATGATGACGGATGGATGGATGGATGGTTGATTGATTGATGGATGGATTACCAAGTCTTTTTTTCTCCTTTCTAACTCAGAAATGTTGCTTTGCTGTGTGAGTTTGCTGGTGCGTTCACTGACAGGATCGTTTGGCGCTGTGTGTCCCTAAACTCCTGAAAATGAGTGGGTTTAACCTGAAGTCTGCTGCATGACTAAAACCCCCTCAAGTCCGAGTTTGATCCACCCGTTTCTCTGCTCTCCATCTTAGCCTAACGCCGTGTGACTTCTGTGTTTTATTGAGTTTGTGGTTTCCTCTTCCAGGTGAGAGCACAGGAAGCTCCCACAGGCCCACCTTCTCTCCTGGTTGGAGCGTCCTGATGCCCCGACCACTCTCCTCCTCTTCCTCCTCTTCCTCCTCCGCCCTCCAGCAGCGCCCCCTGCCGGCCGCCTGCTTCCTGTAGAGCAGCTGGGATCCCTGTTTTGGCCGGAGAGGCTGGAAGTGTTGCTCATGTTGAGCTGGGTATCACTCCAGCTCAGGGTGGGGGGGGGGGGGGGGGGCTCAGCTGGATATTCTAAGGAGTGCAGAAGCCAGCATCTTAGATGTTCTTTCTGCTAAAAAAAGAACCCCGCCTGAGTTTGGCTGAACCTTCCAGCCCCTAATTAGCAGATTCTAGTTAATTGTTTGAACATTTCTACTGATAAAAACAAAGTTAAGCCAACACTTTAAAGAACAAGTGAAACATTTGTAGCATTCTCAGCTGAGCTGAATCTGATTCCAGACAGTAGTTGAAGCTGGAAAATAAAAAGACACATAAAATTGAAGTTAAACTGACATTAAAGCAGATTTTCAGTGGTTTCTGTTTTGAACGGTGCTTAATTGAAGACCAGTTTGGAAGTTCTCCTTCAGTGGAAACAAAGCCATACCCCCTTTATTGTCCTGTTTTTCAATAAAAATGATAGATAATAAATAATAATGATAATAAAGATGTCATAAAATGACAAACTACTGATAATTTAAAACGAGAAACCTGAGGCGTGTCTGCCAGAGAGGAGCGGTCAGATACAGACTCTCCCCTCTTTAAATGGCTAAAAGTGACCTGAAACCAGTATTTAAGCAGTAAATCTCCCTCAGGACACACCTGTCTGACCACCTGCTTCTTATGTAAAGAGATTAATATTATTATTGTTAGCTTTTTGTAAGCGGTCCAAAAAGAGATGGCATCTTGTTTTCAGAGACCAGAGAAACGGACCACATTTTGATCATATTTTTAAATCTATTAAGGCTTTCTCACCTTTTATTTGTAAGTTAAGTTGTAAATGTGTGACAATCAGCTAGAAAAAGCTTCCAGATCTCCTCAGGATGTCGTTCACTGTGGAAACGAAGCTCCTCCCATCTCTCTTTTATCTGTATAGTAGTTTGGTTTCGTGCATGGAAGAGGCTTTTCCTGAAATATGCAATTCTTTGGGGTTACTGTGCAATACAAGCCTTGTTGGTTGCTATGTGTCGATGCTGCAGGCCCGGCCATCCAAGTGCCCTGTCCTCAGTTTGAGCTCCTTTTATCTGAAAACTCAACAAATGAGTCCGGTTTCTGACAATCAGCGCGGAACATTTTTAACGGCCCTTTTATTTCTTGCTTTGTGGATAAATTACACACAGAATGTGCAAAGCAGCCAGAGCGGCAGCACAGAACAAATGTTTCAGTGTGTTTATGAAGCAATAAGATGAACCAAAGTGGACTACTCATATGTGTTGTTGGGTCACATGTTAAATGAACAACTTTTAGATCAAACTCTGTGTTTTCTGTGTGTGTGTGTGTGTGTGTGTGTGTGTGTAGGAAGCATGGCTCGTTGTGTACAGACTCCAGAGAGTGCCACTGCTGTCAGAGGTGTTTTTATGCATGTTCTCTTTGTTAAGATGTTTTGGGGTAAAAAGGAAACAACCTTTTCAATAAAAGGGACAAAAAAGCATTGGTTTGGTTTGGTGTCTTTCTTAGATCGGTGACTTTGAGAAAAAAGAAACAAACATTTGGGGTTTTTTCAATCAGTTCTGTTCAAGGCGGTTTTACCCATTTTTAAATATGTGCACTTGAATATTGACGTATCTATCTTTCAAGGGAATGTGTTTTTTCTTTGTTAAGCCACATCAATGAGCTATGAATAATTGAGGCAGAAAAAAATAACTCAAGTTGTGTCTACACAGAACAGACAACATAGCAAAGAAGCTATTTAAATAGGATTTTAGGCTCTTTGTTACGGAGTACATTTTATACAGAGAGCATTTGGTAAAAATGTTTTAGTTCTGTTTGGCTTACTTTGTTTTTTTTTTTTCTTCATTTGGCTCAGTGATGCATACAAAATGACACACCTGGAGTTTACAGAAAAACTTTTGCTTATGGTTTAAACAATTACAGTTGCCAAAACGTAATTTTGACCTAATGGGCTCCTTAGCTGAAGCAACCACTGATTTATTCAGTGACGGATCACAATCCTATTCGGTTAAAGGAACACCATCATATCTTTTATCAGCAGATGGCAGCAGACACCAACCAAAGTGGGATCACCTTCACCTCTCGGACTCACAACAGACACCACAGGCAGGCTGCTCTTTGCTAGATGGGCTGAATTCAGTTTATTTCCAGCATTTTACAGATGTTTTGAAATGTTACGCTTTTGATCAGTGAACGAATTCTGTGTTTTTACAGAAACAATAAAAAAAAAAATGTTGGTGAAGCTGGAACCTCAAAGGGGAAATAGATTTGTCTCACTTTCAAAACAAAACGCAAATTTGTTCAAATTTGACTGACCTTAAAGCCCAGGTTTCTTTTCTGTATGTTAAATAACTGTTGTAGGTTTATATAGATTCTGCTCAAAGACTCAATATTCTATATTTTACTCTGAAGTTCGGTCTTTTTAACTTGCTTCTGAATAAAAATGGAATTAAATGAAAATTAGCAGTTTGTGTTGACCTGTGGAAACTGAACTCACGTCTCATCAAAATGAATTGAAACACAGCAGGACACGGGAAATTAAGAAGATATGGTAAAGTAAAATCACAAATCAAAAAGAAAGAAATCCTATACCCCACAACTGATTAGGTGAAAATTACCCAACGTTACTTTTATAGGGATAATCTTCTATTTCATCTGTTTTGGACACCGAGTTTTCTGTGTAAATGTGCAGTTTTATGCAGACAATGTCACGCCACACTTTGTTCCAGGATGAGTGGGTTCTCAAGGAGTTGCCAATACAATGAGAAGATTGATCTGGGAAATAAACATAGAGAGTGTTTAAAGGAACAAATAAAAAGAAGCAGCTCAGCTTTGCCTGGTTGATACCTAGAAATTGGTCCGATCTGATACCTAATAACAACAGGAAAATATAACAATACACAAATTCCAACAATAGATGTGTTGCTACAAAGTATCCTAACGCTAAAGGAAGGTAAAACAGGCATCTGAGACAAAAACAGATAGGATTTCTTAAGTTTTGTTTACTTTACAATTTCGGATAGCAACACTTTTATCTTGGTAGGCGTGAACCGGAAGTAGCGTTCTTCTTCGTGGGACCTTGACTCCGCGTTGACCGTGTCAGTGTCAGGAAACAATCTGAACCGCGCCGCGTTGTGCAGCAGCAGTTCGGCCGAGACCTGAACCCGGTGTCCCCGAAGAGAGCTCAGCCTTTATCCGAGGATGGACAAGCTCTGAGGGGCAGCCCGAGGAGCAGCCAGTCGGGCCAAAAGCGCCGAGCCCCGCGGGGAAAAAACCTGGAATCAACCGTTAAGACTGGGGGCAAATCTGTCAGGGGTGTCACAACGATCCCGGGCAGGTAGACGTCGGCTAGCTAGCTTCAAGCTGCCGTTAACTCACGAGCAAGTCGAGTTCAAGGGCCCGCTAAAAGTCCGGTATGGAGGCTTTCCGCGAAGAACTGTGAGCGGGAACGAACCCCAACCTCCCGGCTCATTGTCTCCGTGCTGGGGAGGGGGCTGGGGCTGGGGGTTGTGGGGGTGACCGAAGGCTGGTCACGGCGGGTTTCCTCAGGTGTTCAGAGGTGGAGTTCGGCCCGGGGTGGCTCACCGGAACCGCGGGATGGACCCGGCCAACGGCCGCAGCGCGAGCTGAACTTAACTCCGTTGGCGACGTGTCAGTGAAGTGCACACCAGCCGGAGGACTCGCACACGGCTGAGGAAACACGCGCACACGCACGGAGTGTCTTTCAACCGCGAGGATGAGGAGGACGGAGAATAAAAACAAGCGGAAACTGTGTAGTTTGGAGCCGCCGGAGAGCGGGGAGGAGGAGAAAGATGCGGTGAGTGAGAGCCCTTCAGGTACCCCCGAGGTCCGCGGAGAGGCTGGACTCAGGTCCGCTTCAAAAGGGCCATTCCGCTGTTTACTGTGGCACTACCGCTGCCTTAAACAGGCCCATTTCACAACGACTTACATGGGCCACATCTGGATGAAATCATCTTTCTGATTTATTTCTGAATTCTGAAACCTTTATTATGTTTGTGTATAAACAAAAATGGTCAATTTAACCACTTTTTTATCCTATGAAAAGCCTTTAGATAATTTTTTAGTTAAAAGTAATATTAATCTAAATGGACAAATCTGAACACTATATCAGTCCTTTGAATCAGTCAAATGCATAACAGAATATTATTTAAATGATATCAAGCACCATGGATCATCCCTGAATTAAAAAAAACAACTTGTTAACTGGTGAGTTGGTCAGTTGCACTATTTTTAGTTCACAGTGCATTTGATATCACATTTACTTAAAAAACAACAATACTCAAACCATTTGGATCTGGACTAAATTATGCTGCAGAGGAAAGAAAGTATATAAAACAATATTCTTTTTCACAGTTTGGATTGAGGATAGATGACTTAAAACACACTTTGTGCTCCAATTAAACCATCAAATGCCCTTTAACCACTTCTCAATGTCCACAGGTTGATCTAATCCAGATTAAGCCTATTTTTAGTGTGTACATGTGGTGGTGTAGATGTGGAAATGAAGGGTGAAATGGGCCTTTCCTCTCCACTGAAAGCTGAAACCAACTTCTGTGTCATTTTTAAAGGTTGTTGCTGGATTATTTGTGCCTGTCAGGCTCAGGATTGATGTTGGTACCTCACACCGTGCTCAGCTCCTTAGGAGAGAGTGTTTTCCACCTATTTAAATCAGCTGCTCTCATCATCCTGCTGTCGGGTTTCTGCAGCTCGGAAGGGTTTCTGATGGATTGGCTGAAAAAAGCCACGTGTTTGGCTTCAGCTGCAACTGTGGGGAGGTTTTGCTCAGTCATGGTGCTGCAGTGGAGTGCTGAGTCAAGGTGAACGTGAGGGCTAATGGAAAGCTGATCAAAAATAAGCTCGAGTCCACGTGAAGAAGATCAGGATTTTGTTCTGAAACATCAAATAAACAGAATTGGAGTGGCTTAAAAACATCTCAATAATCCTGTTATAAT